AAAAACAGATAATGGAGATTTTTCTTGATGTGGAGTGGGGAGAGAGAAATATGGGTCACAAACTCCTGGATGTAGAGTTTTTAATAAGTATTGGGATTTGTGATATAACAGTAATGTTAGTCATTCACAATAATGAATTTGAGTCCTTATATTTTTTGCTAAGGAGTGATGTCTCTTGTTCTTGTGTTAAATCCATTGCATCCACTTAGCTTTTTACCTAGTCTTTTAAGGCCCTTCAGAACTTTATTCTCTGCTTATTTGACCTCCTTTCCTATGTTAAACAGTGCTTCCTCTGCTCTAAAAAAGCCAGCCGTGACAAACCTTTGGTCCAGTTCTCTTACAAGTGTATTTGATCATTTTTCATTCAGGGAATGCCATCCCTGCTTTGATCTGCCTAGCCACTTCTTCTTGTCTTTTAATTTATGCTAACAACTGGCCTCTTCTGTGAAGTCCACAATATGAGAATCGGTATTTCCAGTTTCATTTAATGAATGGAAAAAGCCTTAAGTATAAACCAAATGATTAAAATGAATAATCATATTATTGTATTGTAAGCCCTTCTTCACCAAGGACTAATAACTAAAATGCTATCTCTTGGATTCTCTAGATTTCTCTGTTTGTTCTTCTATACAAGTTCTTATTCTCTCATCAATGTAGTGTTGGAGTTGCTTACAGGAATGCATTAAGTGAAATGATTGACATTTTACATGGTGCTTGTAGTTTCTTTCTTCTCCCCTGGAAAAGATTTTAACCTTTTTTTCCAAACACCCCATAGCTGGATTTTTCAGAGATACTGAGCATGTACTGAAATTCTGTTGAATTAGGCTAAGTATCTCATGTAGCTCACTGTACCACCACGGAGGGTAAACTCCTTTCCTTTCTGTATTGTCTTAAATATCTCATCGAAGGATAGTTCCTCATCCTCTGTTAAAAATTATTAGATTTTTGTATATAATACAATTCTTGGATTAGGGACATTAAAATTAGATTAATCAACTAATGGAATAGTCAATGGAATTTCCATCAACTGATTTGTCAATAGGGGCGCTTCCACTTTGAAATGTAGTAAGAGCCCACCCAGCTGTTTGAAATGCTATGTGGAGCCTGGGGCCAGCCCTGAGTCCCCTGCTCATCCCAAGCTCCATGCTGTGCTTCCACTATGAAATGTACAAGAGCCCCAGCAGGGACTCTTGTACATTTCAAAGGTGGAACTAGGTGCAGCACTTCTACCTTTGAAATGTAACAGCTGGACGGGCTCTTGCTACATTTCAAAGCGGAAGCGCTCTTATCGACTAATCAGATAGTCGATGGAAATTCCAAAGTTTGCAAATCAAAGAACTCCAAGCAACCATCTAAGTGCTACACAAAATGGTAGGAACTTGGGGTGTTCTATGGAACAGTATTGAACAAAAGCTCCATAACATGTTGGAAAATACTTGACGAAGAATGGCGTTTTTTTATGCCTGATGTACAAGTGGGCTCAATGCTCGTTTAGTGAAATGAGGTATTAAGCCAGGTGTCCTTGACAAATCCCATAGTTGTAAGTACTGTTGCCCCTTTTCAATCCAAGCTGCTAGTGAGAGTTTGGGGTTTTGGTTCCATTTGGAAGTAGAAATTAATGATATTTTCCTTGATGCAATCTTATTTACAAAGAATGTCCAAAGTCCTGTTTTTCTGAATGCAGGAGGAATCCGGAACAAAGAAGCATAGTTTTAGTTTGCATGAGGGGTGTTAGATATTGATTAATTTAATAATTGTATAACCACACCAAATGTTAGTGGTTACACAATTATTCATTAGTCCCCAGGGAAGGAGTTGGCAGCCTGTGCACTCCAGCCCTACTCCTGGGGAGCCTTTATTTAAAAACCCATGCTGCTGCATCTATTTAAAAATTGGCTCCCTGTGCAGACTGGCTTTCATCTGCCACCCAGTGCTGATGCCTCAGATACAGGGGTGGCTGCAACCCGTGTCCGGGGGAGGCCTGAGCTCCCTGTAGACAGAGTCTGCACTCTGCTACCTCTGATACAGAGGCAGTCAGCTCCCTGTAGACAGAGTCTGCACCCTCTTCCCCCTGCACTCTGCTACCTCTGATACAGAGGCAGTGATGTGGGGCAAAGGGAAGGTGGCTACATGGAGCAGGCACATGTGGAGAGCCAGCTTTTAAGCTGGCTCGCACATGTATTTAATACTGCTTCTCCCCCCACACTGCTGCCTCTGATAGTGAGGCAGCGGGGGGGAGTGGCTCCGTGGGATCTATCAGAGGCCACAGTGTGGGGTGGGAGCTAGGCTCTGCGGAATTTGGCTCCCATGCCCCCCCTCCCTTGCTACCTCTGATACAGAGGCAGCAAGGAGGGATGTTGCAGTATAGGTGTTAGGATTAACTGATAAGCCTCAACTTATTGGTTAATTGTTTAAACGACTGTATGGTAACATCCCTAGTTTGCATTCAGAAGCCACTTAACAAACCCCAAATCTTCCTGTGTTGTCATCCTGTGCTCACAGCTACTCCTTGTCTTTTTACCGCTTCCAAGATTCCTTGATGTCTGAATTAGGCCTTTTTTTAGATGTGGACATGCAATTTAAGTGAAGGGCACATTGACACATCAGTTTCAGTGCAATTTTAACTTGGACCATAACAAGGTTTAACCCATCTCATGATAGTATGCTCTGCCTAGTTAAATTTCCTTTGAAGTTTTAGTTAGCTGCAGTGGTTTATTTCATGGAATGTCCCAGATTGTAGTAATGTAGCGGAGTTATCTAACTGTTCCACCGCAGAAACTGTTAATAGTGAGTGTAGCATTTTTTACTGTTTATGCTATAAAGCACTTGGGGGTGAAAGGTGCTATATGAATGTAAGATTATTGCTGTGAGGCAAGAGATGCCAGTGTTGACTCAAAAGTGTCTCCTCATTAGTGTTGTGTATGAATTGCATATGCAGTCATTTCTGCAGTAGAGGAGACAACCATAGGGAGTATTTCAGGTATTCTGAAATAAACAAGAGGAAACAGGGTTTTCTAGAGTATATTCTAAAAGAAAGTTATCTCCACGTTGCCTTCAATACTAAATGGGCTCGTCTACATTGGCCCCTTTTCCGGAAGGGGCATGTTAATTTCAGAGATCGCAATAGGGAAATCCGCGGGGGATTTAAATACCCCTGCGGCATTTAAATAAAAATGTCCGCCGCTTTTTTCCGGCTTTTAGAAAAGCCGGAAAAGAGCGTCTACACTGGCCCCGATCCTCCGGAAAAAGCGCCCTTTTCTGGAGGATCTTATTCCTACTTCAAAGTAATACTTTGAATACTTCAAAGTAGGAATAAGATCCTCTGGAAAAGGGCGCTTTTTCCGGAGGATCGGGGCCAGTGTAGACGCTCTTTTCCGGCTTTACATTCAAATATTTAAAAAAATAGAATGGTTTAACTGCTTCCACAATTACTCTTCTCTTAGCTCGTTTTATTGTCCTTTCCATGCCATTCTGTGTCAGAACAGTTCTATAGCAGTATAGCGTATACTTTTGCTTATCCTCCACAGTTTGGTTGCACCACCGAGCTATTTGTGTGTCTTTGCAATAATGAGGAGGTTTAGAACTTTCTTACTTGTAATGTCTCTTTTGGACTCAAAAGGAGACTTTCTTTTAAAGGCATTGACTGCTTGATGGATTGTACTTCTGGCCCTATAATGCATTGTCCATACTGATCACAAGGCATGGCAAAATGTAAACAATAGGAATGGTCTTTTTTCACACTATTTCATTCTTATAATTCTTACCAGATTTATACCATTAAATTTGGTGATTTTGTTCCATGAAAATAATTGTCACACTAGTCCTGATAGTGATAAAACTATTCAGAAGTTGAATCTGTCAAATAGTTGTTTCATGGCCCCATCATCTTTGGAGTATACTGTCAGCTTCATCAATAGGTGTCCATCCTAGTGGCAAAGCATGAGGTATTTATTAGGGATATTAGATATTGGTTATTTAGTAAATGTGTAGCCACAACATTAGGGATGTTAAGAACTAATCAACTGTCCGAGAAGCAAATGCTTATCGGATAGTCAGACAACTAGTTGATTTTTCCCCCCCATTGCTGCCTCTGTCAAATAGCTGTGTGGCACTGCCGCTTTGAAATGCTGAGGCGGTGTTCAAAGGGGCAGCGCTGCACAGCTGATTTCCGGCTCAGCTGTGCGGCACTGTCCCTTTCAAATGCCTCCTCGGCGTGGACTCCCCAGCTGATCCCGGGCTCCAGTGCAGCATTTCCGCTGAACCCGGGATCAGCTGGGGAGTCCCCAGCTGACCCCGAGTTCTGGGGAAATGCCGCACGGAGTCCCCAACTGACCCCAGCTCCATGTGGCATTTCAAATCGGCAGCGCAGCATGGAGTCCCCTGCTCTGATCTCCCCGCTGACCCCCTCCTGACCAACTCTGAGTCCCCCGCTGACTCCGGGCTCCATGTTGTGCTACTGCTTTGAAATGCACAAGAGCCCCCAAAGGGGACTTTTGTACATTTCAAAGCTGGTGCACCTCATGCAGCCCAGAGTCAGTGGGACTTCCTGCTGGCCCCGGCTGCATGCAGAGTTCCGCATTCCTCCTTTGAAATGTACAAGAGCCTCCGGTAGGCTCTTGGAGGAATGCAGAAGTGCCTATCAGCTAGTCAAGTAGTCAATAGAAATTCTATTGATTACTCGACTAGTAAATTAGCCGTTACTTAACATCCTTACACAATAATGTTTAGTGGTTACACAGTTATTAAAATGCTCTTGGTACCTGGCCCCATTCCTGGGGAGCCTCCTGCCAGCCTGAGCTGATACAGGGGCAGCAGGTGGAGCCGGTCGATGAGGGGAGCTGGTTTAAAAACTGGCTCCCTGTGCAGACTGGCTCCTGCCTTCTGCCTTGCACTGCTGCTTCTGATATAAAGGCAGCATCACAGGGCAGCAGCAGCCTGAGCTCCCCGCAGACAGAAGCTGCTGCAATATACCACAGAGCAGCCTCCGTCCACAGCAAGCCTGGGCTGCCTGTGGACAGAAGCTGCCCCACCTCCCACCTGTCCCCACACCGCACTGCTGCCTCTGATAAACAACAGCATGGGGTGGAGGGGCGGGTGGCTCTGTGGGAGCCGATAGGGCTAGGGATCTGGCTTCCTGCATGTACTGGCTCCTGCCTGCCCCGCTCCCTCATACTGCTGCATTTCTGTCAGAGGCAGCAGTGCGGGGGTGGGGAGCAGACAGCTTCCCCCAAGCTCCTGCTTCTTCCCTTCCCTTGTTCTATCAGAGGCTGCAAGGGTACGTGCGCGTGCGTGCATATAGTTATTTGGATTAACCAATAAACCCAGGCTTATTGGTTAATTGTTTAAATGTCTATACACTAACATCCCTACTACTTATTGTTTGGAAATAACTGTTTGAAACAATTGAGAGCTTATAAACTTTAAAATAGATCTTTATAAGTAGAAATGGAAAAGTGGATCAGCCAGATGTTCACATTAAAGACATTTGGATCTCTGTCTCATCGAGACAGTGCCTGGCTGAGAGATTCAGTCTCATAACCAGCTGCTTATCAGGGAGGTACCCTCCCACTTGCAGAGGGGGACACGTGTAAGGAAGAGATGTGAATTGTTAACTGGTTAATTGGTAAGCCTCATCCTTGGTGGCAAGGCTTACCACTTGAGATTAACCTGTGGGGGCTGAAGCAGCTCTCTGCCTGCTGTGAGCAGGGAGCTGCTCCAGCCTCGTGGGGGGCCTGATGCGGACAGGGCTGCTCTGGCATCCCAGCTGGTGCAGCCTCTGTCCGCGGAACCGAGTACTTTGCAGACAGGGGCTGTTCTGACTGGGATGCTGGAGCAGCCCCTGTGTGCAGGATGCTCTGGCCTGGCTGGTGCAGTTCAGTGGCAGGCAGGGGGGCTGCTTCAGCCGGGTTGGAGTGGACCCCTCTATCTCCTCCTTGCTTTTACTGGTTAAACAATATGTTAAACCAGTTAAATGGAATTTTACATCCCTAATGTGGAATTCTTTTCCTCTGTTAACCATGTGCTGCTGCTGTTAGAGCAGTGCAGTGAACGTGAGATGACCACTGTCACTTTCATTGAGCGAAACAGCAGGAAAAAAAATCAGCTATTCCTTGGGGAGTAAGGATGGGAGAGAGGAGAGTGCTCTCCCCACTTTAACTTTCCCAGTTTCCTGATGATATATGCAAAGGGAACATTATAGCGCAGCTGCAACATTAAATTCACAAGTTGCCAGCTGTCTACACTGGTCTCTTGAATTTGCGCAAAAGCACTGACGTTCTATTGTCTGAAATCGGTGCTTCTTGCGCAAATGCTTTGACGTTCCCGTTCGGGCAAAAGCCCTTTTCCGGAAATGTTTTTGTGCAAAAGGGCCAGTGTAGATAGCTCAGGACTGTTTTGCGAAAAAAAGCCCCGATGGTGAAAATGGCGATTGGGGCTTTCTTGTGCAAACCTGCGTCTAGATTGGCACGGGCGCTTTTGGCAAAAGCACTTTTTGCAGAAAAGCATCCGTGCCAATCTAGACGCTCTTTTCCGCAGATGCTTTTAACGGAAAAACTTTTCTGTTAAAAGCATTTGCGGAAAATCATGCCGGTCTATACATAGCCTAAGAGTCTTTAGCAGAATTTGGGACATAATTGCTCTTATTGTAATAAAGCAGAAATCCATAGTGCTTTTCTTACCAAAAAATTAATCTTCTCTCTTTCAGTCTTCCCATCTTAACCAGAAGAAAAACTACGTGCACCTGTAACCTTGTGGAGCATTGCAAGCCAATCCAATGGCGTCCTCAACTGCTGTGCCTGTAGGATTTCACTATGAAACAAAATATGTTGTTCTCAGCTATCTGGGACTCTTGTCACAGGAGAAGCCTCAAGAGCAACATCCTCCCTCGATTCCAGGTAACATTGTATTTACATATGTGGTTGCTTCATCAATTAACTGTAGAATTAAGTTACGTTTATATACATGCCTTGAATGTATATAATTGCTGCTTTTTAAACTTGTGTGTCTCGTTATATTTACTTTTAAAATAAAATGAACACCTGGTGACAGAAACAAAGCAGTTCATATCTAGGTCACTGGTTTAATTTCAGCGAAGTCCATAGTGCTGAAATACATTGAAATACCTAGGTAGTCTGTATTAGGGATGTAAAATCCCGTTTAATTGGTTAACTGGTGAAATGTGAAATTTAGCTGGTTAACCAGCTAAGGTGAGGGGGGGTGCTCCATCCGGCTGGGCTGGAGTGGTTCCCTACCGCAGGGAGGAGCAGCCACTGGAGCATCTCCTGTCCATGGTGGACCCTGTGGAGCTGGAGCAATCCCCTGCTCAGAGCAGGCAAGGAGCTGCTCCAGTCCTCACTGGTTATTCTTGAGGTTGACATTCTTAAGGTTTTCTCTATGGTAGCACTTTCTTGGGCAACCTTCCATTCATGCTATTCCTACTGGGGCTGGCTTACAGAAGGGTTAGGCTTTTTTTTTTAACCACAATCTGAGTTCTAGCTTTGCTTTTGGTGAGTTTAGATAAGAGTGATTGTGGTATACTCCACCATTCCAAATCTTTCTTTATTTTCTGACTTAGTGATTTGACATTTAAATCATAGAGGTCTTCTAGGTTGTTTGAGATTTGAATTTCCAAGTATTTTTTGCCCCATTTGCACCCAAATGTTTTCTGGAAGAATGACCGCTCAAAGTCTGTCAAGTTTATAATTAGCATTTCAGATTTAGCATCATTTACATAAATCCAGATGCTTTCCTAAAGTCAGATATTAGTATCTACATAAATCTTCTGCACATATTTTATTTAGATAAAAATACTGCATCATCTTCATGTAAAGCTATTTTCTGATGTTCCTAACAGTTTTATTCCTGTGTTAATTGTTCCTTATTTTCTGTACAAAAGGCATCATGGCCGGTGCTAAAAATAAAGGAGATTCTGGACATATCTGCCTAATAGTTTCTCTGTGTAACTTAAACAGGAAATTTAACCCTATTATCTTGTGCAGCTGTACTTGCCACCAATCCCTTACATGGAGTGTCCATTTGAGACTAGGCTTGTAACAGAAAGTTCCACTCTAATAAAAGTTTTCTCTGCAGCAAGTGACGGTAAAGGAATTGAATCATGTTTAAATCTGCAGTTATAGTTTATTAAAAGTACTCTGAATATTCTTATATTTTATGTCCTTCATCCAGTTTGAGCTGCATTCACATAAACTGAGAGCATGGACTGCAGTTGGCCCGCAAGTATTTTTGGTGAAATCTTTCTCGTGATTCAGGATTGCCTATTTTTAGTATTATCCCTGACACAATAAACTCTTGTAATTCAGCACACACTCAAATCAACTTTCCCTTCCCTAGTAATCCTTAAAACGTTTTTCCTTTAACTTGCATATAAAATACATAAATACTGAATCAAAATGACTGAGATCTGTCAGGGTTTGTAAAAAGTAGAAAAACTAAGACTGTAACAAAGTATTTTTGAAATTTGCAAAAAACTCTGGCATGAAATTAATACTTCAGTTTGTACTGTTTTTGTTTTTAATAAACATGTTTGTCTGTACTTTTGTGTCAGTGCAATTTCTGTTGTAATTTCATCTCTTGATTTTTGAAATGCAGGCCTCTGAGTTCCAAGGCACCCATGTGTTTTCTCACTTACGATTTGTCAGTTTCATGAAGCTTTTTGTGGGAAAGTTGGTGTTATTTGGCAATCACAGGAAATAACTACATTTTAATCTGCAATAACTACATTTTATTTTGACAAATACACATTAGATAAGAACAAAAACATTATTTGAAATAGACATTTTCATTACTGGAACGTACAAATTCCAAGAGGAATCAGTATTTTTCTGTAATCCAAGACTGTTAATGCAAATATAGAAAATAAATTTGAGTTGTTTGTAAGTGGGAAGGAAATGGAGATCCTATGAAAAGTGTTTTCAAGATCAATACTGAATTAAGAGCAAAATGTCAGTACGAATTTTTGTATTCAGTTGACATCCCAAGGTGAGAGGACACATGCGCTTCTGAGCGAAGATAACTAGCTAGCATGTCTGCTTTTTTTGTAGAGAAGTTTGCTTACATTGAATTGGAATCTGGTGTCCAGCATGCTTTTTGTTGTTCTAGCACAGTAATTCTTCCAAAACTTGTTCTTTTCATCTACGTTACATTAAACCTGCCTGTTTCCCTTCAACAAACAGATTAACATCAGTGGTACCCTCTTGCCATCTTTGCTCAGAATTTCTTGCTGGCATTCACACTTTGTCTACACATCCCCATCTTCCTGTCTATTCATATGCAGCTGCTCATGTGACTTTCCTTTTTTACCGGTTTGGAATCCCGTTGCTTGCCATCAGTCTCTTATATAATTCAATCTGTTTTCTCACTTTTAGGGCCCTACATAATCTCACCCTACTTTCATCGCTCCTCTCCATTCTTTTCCTTAGCTCATGTCTCCTTTCTACACTAGTAAATTTTCCATTTTTTGGTTGCTTAATGAGCAGCTCATGCAATATAGGTATCTGGCATTCCATCTGCTTGGTCATTATGATTATTATTTATATTGTGTGGTATGAGATTGTAATTGAAAAGGAATTGCTTATGATTCCTAATGGTAAGGAGTGAGAACTTCCGCCCCTCAGAAAGAAGCACATGATACAGGGAATGATAATGTCTCTTTTTCATGTCATTAAGTCTGCATGCCAAGATACATGGTACAATATCTTGTCACCAATGCTGCAATACAGCATCAGGGTCTGATTTGAGGTGCTCTGCAGCTCCATGTGACCACTTTGATTCTTCAGCTGCTTGTGGTTGAGCACCATTGCTTTAGAGAATGAGACGAGCATTTTGTTGATGTGTGTTGGCTATCACTTAATCTTAGTCTAAGTGACTACAAAGTTACTTTATAGGGGAAACATTTAATATAACTAAGGCCTGATCCACACAACAAAGTTAGGTCTAATTAATAATGTATGTGTCTACACTACCAAGTTCCTTCTGCTGACCTAAAGGGCTTACAAAATCAACTTCTGTATTCCACCTCTATAAGAGGCATAGTGCTTCACTTGACATCCACATGTCTACATAAGGACAGTATAGTAATTCAAAGGGATTGGCTTCAGGAGGTGTCCCAGACTGCTTTGAAGAGCACTTTGAGCTCCCCTGCACTTCAGCCAGGCACACAGAAAGCAGCTGCTCCTCTGTTAATGCCCTGGGAACTTCTGAATTTTTATTTCTCTCCATGGATGCTCAGGGCCACGAATGTGCTGCAGGATGGAGAACACAAGAGACGCTGGTTCTTATTGTTGTGCGGGGAGAAGAGTCGGTGCAGGCAGAGCTCTGAACCAGCAGAAGCAAGGCAAACATCTATGCCAAAATCTCATAGGGCATGGGGGACAAAGGACTACACCAGGGACACGCAGCAATGCTGCATGGAAATAAAGGAATGTAGGCAAATGTAACACAGGGTAAGGGAGGCAAACAGTCACTCTGGTTCTGAGCCACAGACATGTCCCTTCTATGAGGAGCTGCACACGATTCTAGGCGGCTACCCCGCTGTTATCCCAAATCTCTCTGTGGAGAGTTTTCAGGCGCCCCAAACAACATCAGGCAACAAGTACAGTATTTTGACAAGAAAGAGGGGAGGAGAATACAGGGCAGGCAAGCAGGGGATCCATTCTGCCCCACAGCCAAGAAAGTTTTAAATTTCCGGAGCCCATCCCCTCAAAAGAGCAGTTGTGCCTTCTCTGCCATCATGCTCCATTCACCTGTGGTGAGTACACACTTTCAATCAAACTGTAGGAGTGAAATGAAATTATTTTTAATGTTGAATCTGAATTAAAAAATTGGGATAGTGGTTAGTGGTGGCCAGTCTAGCTATACAGAGAGTGCTCTCCTAGAAAGACTGTTTTGTGCCTGGGGATGAACCGTAAATCCTCCATAGATATCTCTAGGAAGCTCTCATGGAGGTACAGTAAAACTCCAATTTTCCGGCATCCAGTGGTCTGGCACTCCCGATAGTCCGACACCAACTGGAACCCAGAAGTGCTCCGGCCAGCTGGACAATTGGAGCTGCTCTGCGCGGCCTCCCCAAGTCCGTTGCTGCTGCTGCTGCTGCTGAAATGGACCAGTGGCGGACTTGGGGAAGAGGCTCAGAGCAGCTGGGGTGCTGCTGGGTTGGTCCCGCAGCACCACCCTTAACCCCCCTGCTCTGCCCCTGCAGCACCGCAGCTGCTCTGCTCCGCAGCTGCTAACAAAGGCAGAAAAGGAGCAGATGATGTAAGCATCTGGGTACAAACCTTGTACTTTTACCTAAGCAGCGCTGCAGGACCAACACGGCAGCACCCCATTTGCTCTGCCCCACAGCTTCCCCAAGTCCGCCACTTGTCAGTTTCAGCAGTGGTGGATTTGGGGAAGCTGTGGGGCAGAGCAAATGGGGTGCTGCCGTGTTGGTCCTGCAGCGCTGCTTAGGTAAAAGTACAAGGTTTGTACCCAGATGCTTACATCATCTGCTCCTTTTCTGCCTTTGTTACCCTCAGGAAAGTGATATCATGTATGGTGACCTGGGGGAAATGGGGGAAGTTACAAGTGCCAGCTCTTAAGCCACAAGCAATTTGATAATTAAATCACCTTTTTTTGCT